ATGGAGTGGTGAGACCGGATTGCGTGCGCGGAATTCCACATTACTATGGACAGTTATCGGACCGCAGATACTCGACAAGGAATTGACCAAATATCTTGAGCAAGGCCCTCCCTCATCCTGAGCAACTAATAACAATGACTATACATAATTATTGACAAAAGCCAGTTGAAGTTCCACTGACAGATAGATTTAACAATTAGAATGTACCGCGTGAGGGTTCAACAAGAGCTTGAAAAAGGTGGAAATAAGTCCCTAGCATGAGGGCCAACGCAGCCCAATCGCAGTCGAAAGGTCCACTCGGCCCATCACCATTCCTCCCAACATCAATACAATGAGCACCACACTTTGTAGAAAGTCAACAGTGGGCCATCTGAGAGAGAGTGACCATCTACACAGGAATGTGGAATTCGCGACATTAACTCAAGGCCACCGAGAGGAACGCTGTAATGGGTGGGGGGAGGGGGGGGGTCAGCTTTTCATCTCGGACTCTTCTTGTCCGTGTGGGGCTTGACTTCTCGTCTCTGTGCTTCTCAGGTCCCCCTTGCAAAAGAGATAATGAATGTGCAAAGGTTCTCACCTGGTTAAATAAAGGATGCCGAAATTAGCCTGTCACTGCTGACGGATGAAGTAATGAGATTCCTGTGAGCGGAGCCGTATTAATAACGGTTTCAATTACATGAGTCTCGTCACTGAAAACGAGGCCGAAGAATGATTTAGACCTTGAATGACGCGAGCGTAGAGCACATGTTATCTAAACGTGGGCTGGGTATAGGCGCGTGCGTGTAACTGCGGGGGGGGGGGGGGGCGGCAGCGTCGTGGTCAGCGTGGTAGCCCGATGAAATCGGTGGCCCGAGTTCGATTCCCGGCCACGGCTAACATCAGTGGTGATCGCCTGAACCCCGGGCCTGTGCCGCCCCTAGGTTGACTCCGCCTTAAGTGGGTACATGAGGAGGCGGTGCATAACCCTCAGCATTGGGGAGTTAAAGGCAGCTGGGGACTTGGATTTGACTCTCTGTGAAAACTCTCATTGCGTGCCCTCGCCAGTCCAAAGAGGTGCTCACGGACAGCACCTGTCCACTTGCTTTGCGCACTCTTGTTGTCTGCGTGGTTGGCACAGTGTGGCAACGTAGTCCTCTGCCTGGCCGGGGACTCGTGGTGGGAGTCAAAATGTGGGAGACAAAGGAGGCATGGGGGCGGGCGTGGTCCTGGCCACCTCACAAAGTGTGCCGTGGTGGTCTGACCAGGCGCTCGCCAACAGCACACAGGGACATTCGAACGTTGTGTCACGATGCTCCATGGCAGGCATTCAACATTGTGGCTTAATTCACGAAAGTCGGCCACACTCTGTAACCGTGTCACTGCCTAGATCCCAACAGTGAACGTGCAGAGTACTCATTCTATCATCCTCAGAAGGTTTGTGGACTATCGGCAACACGTCACCGAGATTGCTACTCGTCACTTTGCGAACGTTCTAACGTCAAAAAGCCTCCCTCGGTGCTAATCCCCGCTGGGTACCAGCGCGTTGGTGAAAATGTCACATTTCCATGGTTGGAGCCATAATCTCAAACCACAGAATCACTACTGCCCCAGCTAACTTGCAAATAAAATACCTGTAAGAACTTCTGGTGCATAACATTGCGAACTAAGGTTTGCTTTAACAAAAAATTGGCTTGTGCTATGAATGGGCTCTCACACGTTTAAATAACGGCGAGGGAATTCATTGAACTCGGTGATGACAAGGATGATGATTATTACGACGACGATGATGATGATGCCAAGAAGACAAATTATGTAGATGTTCACCGGAACCGGTTAGCAGACACTCATCACCAGCGGCAGTAACCGATGATCTCATTGGCCATTAGTGCCTCTAATTAATGAACAATCAATTTTGCAGATGAGTGCAATGACTGTGCGCACGGGGCCAACGTGCCTCCATCCCTCCCCTCCCCTCCCCCCAACACATTCCTCCCCACCACCCCCTCAGTCAACCTCACCTCCCCGCCTGACACAACGCAGACCAATCGTGGGACTTGGCGGGGAGTGAGCGAGCGAGGGCTCGGCCGCGATCGAACCTCTCGCGGCTCGTGATCGACGCCGCGCGCTTTAGTGGCGCGGGGGGAGGAGGTGCGGGGGAGCGAAGGGGCCCCACGGCGTCGAGCGTCGCCACTGAATTAACGGCTACCAGATCCGCGAGCCAGCGAGTGCTCGGCTGTCGGGACTGAAAACACGGCCCCCGCTCGCTCGCCTATTTTTCGCCTTTGGGATGAATTTCCCCGTTCGCCACCCACGGTGTCCCGATTGCGGTATCGGCACTGTGGGGCAGGAAGAGATCTCCCGCACCACCCACCCCCCCTCACCCCCGGCGCGTCCTACCCCGCCGCCGATGCGCGAGAGTCAAGGGTAGCGACGGTGGCGAGTCGTGCGTCACGAACCGCGCTGGGCCTGCGATCGCCGACTACTCTCCGCTTCGAAGGCAACGAAGGCTGACGTTCATAAGGTTGTCAGTCGACAACAATAAGACAAATTATTTTGTTTGATTCAAGTAAAGCCTCATTGGGTCTCGGTGTTCAGCGAGTACCAAGAAAGGTGCTGTTGCCGTGTCACTGTGGCAGAGTGTGCGACTCACAATTGGAGGCCACGTGTTCAATTCCTGGTTATCATCTCCACGGGGCCAATAAAATGAGTACCACTCTGTGGGACGTCAATATTGGTTATTCTATGGACAGAATGGGTCTGACCATAGGAATATTAAATTTCCACCTTTGGCTCAGGGTCACAATGGATATTAGGGCCACACTTTGCTCGTTTTAGCACGGAGATGCTTTGACTTTGACCTTGCATGGGATGCTTGGGCAATGTTGCCCACATTCGAGACAGCCTACGATTCTCTCTCGGGCGAGTGCCCCAGTGTCGAACCCAGGCTCTCCGTGGTGCTGGCTCGGAACCTCATGGCGTAGGGGGGGGGGGCTTACACGCCAATCTTGTGGAGCTCTCGTTAACGGAGCGTGAACTCCCCGCTTGCCGCGAAAGACCCTCGCGTGGAGATGAGGTCAAAAGTCATTTGGGAAGGAGCGGACGAGTTTGAATTTAATGACTTGATAATGAAACTGACTGGAACCCTCCCCAAACAACCGCGTACGCCGCAGCCCCTACCCCCGCAACCATGCGATCTTTCCTTCCCTGCGGCCGCCCCTATTTCCACCGGCGCTGACAGAGAGACCGGCTGCCGTCAAACTCGGATGAGTAGCGCTGGTCGGGCCGCGTTAAGCGTGAACTAATTCAGGACCGTTCATTTTTTGAAATCTTTTTTTTTTTTATTCCTTCCGCGGCGTCACGCTTGCCTGGGGCCCCGCAGACGTCAAAAGCCTGGGGCGGGCGCGAGAGCGTCGCGCCGGAGGAAGCGCCGTCGTATTTCTCGCCAGCCCCTTCGCGCCGCGATCCACGCCAGAGGGATCGGCGAGCGGTCGACTCGGCACCCCGACGGGGCGTGTCGGCCCCGGCGAGATGGGGCCGCAAATCCAAACCCAGCCCCTCGCACCCCCCCACCCGCCCAGAGCCGTGGACGCGAGACAGACAGAGAGACAGAGAGACGACGGAGAGATGGCGCTGGGCAGACCTGTGCCGATCAGTGCCGAGGGCCCGAGGGTGGAGAAGAAGCGACTGAGGCAATCGATTCAAGAGTACGCGGTCTAACATCGCTGATTAGCATGGTTGGCTACGAACCGTGCGAAAGAAGTTCAACGTGGAATAATATCCATCATCATCATCATCTCCACCATCATCTCCACCATCATCTCTATTGGTGGCCCTGAGATAATGATGGAAAATCCAGATATTTATAGTGGGAGCCAATCTTTCCATGTAATGACAACTGTGGACCCTCCAATAAGTTACCCAGGACAGGTAAAAGGCCGAGTTGGTCCCCGACAGGTATTTGAACTTGTGACCTTTCGATTGCGAGTCGGGTGCCGTAACCGTTGTGTAGTGGACAAGAGGCTGCCATTCCCGTGTGGACTGCAGGAGCCTCGGACGACGACTTAGACCATGAGAGATGGGACAATCCTCTGCTTGGGCCACGTGTGTGTAGGTGTACCGTAAGCCTGTGTTGTGTACGGTGTACTCGCACACATATACCGCAGGGTGGCGGCACATTGACAACACACTCTTGTCTCACAGCAACAAGAGGCCTGAGTTCCATTCCCTGACGGGCGCCTTTCTGTGTAAAGTTTGTATAATCTTTGGTTCTTTCGGTAAAGTCACGTAGGTATAAAATAAAATAAATCGCGACGTTTCGGGCGCAACACAAGCGTCCGTCATCAGGTGGGAAAGCATGGTCTGCTGCCGAGGCAAACAGTCTATTTTATTTTATTTTATACCTACGTGACTTTACCGAAAGAACCAAAGAGTACGGTTACCTGCAGTCACGAAAGCTTCAAATCAAGATTAAAGTTTGTATGTTCTCCCTCTGTTCTGCAGAGGTTTTATTCTGGGTTCTCTGGTTTCCCAACGCTGAAAAATGACCTGCAAATGGTTTGATTGGGATCGCACGAAACAACGTCACACCGTGCTATACAAACTTGGCAGGACCCTTGCCAAAAGAGAGTCTTGAGACTCAATGAGGCTTTCCTGGGGCAACAAGTGTCATAACACACAACATTTGTGCGTATGGTGTATGTGTATGTTCACACAGTAGGGAGCATAGGTGGTGGGATCTGCCAGTCATCTGGGTCTGTCCGGCCAACTCCTGCCAGCGGGGCTTTGCTACTGCACGTGTCCTCACAGTGCACAGATCCTGGCACAAAAGCGCTGTGTGTGGTGATGTCACAGCTACTTAGTGGAGAATTGCGGCTGTTGTTGTGTTTTGTTGTTGTGCACGTACGTTTGTGTGTATACGTAGATGCTTTGTGTGCGGTATGCACACGTGTGTGTACGTTGTGTATACGTGTGTGTATCATGCACGTGTACACATGCGTGTGTGCACGCGCGCCGCTACGCACGTGTCCGTAGTGTCCCTCGGCGGCGCAGTTGTAGCAGAAGACGCGTGCGTGGGCCCTGTCCGGCTCCACCAGCGGCCGCACGAGGGGCCCAGGTTCCACCTGAGAGCCACACCGGACGCACGTCAGGGCCCGCATCTCCCACGCAACACAGGAACAATAGAGACCCCCCCTCACCCCCGACTCCACTCCACCATCCGTCGACCGGGACCCAGTCCAACCGCACTGTCACAGGTGTAATGGGTTATAGCGTCAACACGTTTATAAGCGTTGAGCGAGGTTACTGTTCTTTTTAAGAGCTTGGGGGGGAAAGAAGAGACGGTCGGAGAGAATTTCCAAGTTGAACAATGACAGGGAAGAAGCAGAAAGAGAAGTGTTGTGACCTGCAGCGTGGTGATCGAGTTGGTGGGTGGGTGATTGAGTGGGTGGATGAGTGAGTGGGTGGGTGAAAGAGTGAGTGGATGAGTAAGTGAATGAGTGAGTGGGTGAGTGAGTGGGTGAGTGAGTGGGTGGGTGAGTGAGCGAGTGAGTGAGTGAGTGGGTGGGTGGGTGAGTGAGCGGGTGACTGGGTGGGTGAGTCAGTGAGTGAGTGGATGAGTGGGTGGACAGTTGAATGGGTGAGTGAGTGGGTGAGTGAGTGGGTGGATGAGTGAGTGAGTGGGTGGGTGAGTGAGCGGGTGACTGGGTGGGTGAGTCAGTGAGTGGGTGAGTGAGTGAGTGGATGAGTGGGTGGACAGTTGAATGGGTGAGTGAGTGGGTGGACAATTGAATGGGTGAGTGAGTGGGTGAGTGAGTGGGTGGGTGAGTGAACGAGTGAGTGGGTGGGTGAGTTAGCGGGTGACTGGGTGGGTGAGTCAGTGAGTGGGTGGATGAGTGAGTGAGTGAGTGGATGAGTGGGTGGACAGTTGAATGGGTGAGTGGGTGTATTGCTGTGACCCACATTGCAGTGGTTGACCACGGCGTGCATGCCGTGAGCAGGGCTAGGACCCATGCCCTCGATGTTCAAGTCCAGACACAAGGCCGTCCTGTGAGGTGCCTCCTTCCCCCCTCCATTCTCTACCCTGCAGCCTCCTTACCCCTCTCAACCACTCCTCTAAAAGAAACCCCATTCACAAAGACGTCCTCCTCATCCTCTTCTTCTTCTGCTCTTGCTGGCTCACAAGATTTGTCTCTATCGCGTGTCCTGTGGACAGGCCTGGCATCCAGATGCCGTACAATCCCCGGCGCTCTTGGCTTTTGCAACGGATGTGTGTGTGGGTGGAGGGGGGGTTGGGCCCCCGCGGTTCATTTTGTGGTGTTAATATAAAAAAAGGTTGGCTCAAAAGAATGTGAAATAAACCCATAAAACCTGCCGAAAAAGCGTGCAGTCATCGTTTAATCCCCCGCGCCGCAGAGTGAGAATTGTTATTCTTACCCCCCGAGTATTTATTAGCCTGCGTACCCACGTACTTGCTGAAACAGCATCGCGTTTCACAAATACACACACACACACACGTATACGGGGTCAAAACCGTCCAACAATTTACAAGGGTCAGGAGGGGTCTGCACTAACGTGTGAGATTTAGGGGCTCGGAGTAACATTTCGGGCGGCAGATCATTTCGGGCGTCGCACCTCCAGCAGACGTGACCCGCTTAAGTATTGGTCACGGGCCGCGTAAGCACGCAGCGTTATACACGCACGCAGTGTCGTTATACACGCACGCAGTGTCGTTATACACGCACGCAGCGTTATACACGCACGCAGCGTTATACACGCACGCAGCGTTATACACGCACGCAGCGTTATACACGCAGCGTCGTTATACATGCAGCGTTATACATGCAGCGTTATACACGCACGCAGCGTTATACACGCACGCAGCGTTATACATGCAGCGTTATACACGCACGCAGCGTTATACACGCACGCAGCGTTATACACGCACGCACGGGGTAAACAAAACACCACGTCTCCCTCGCGTACGTACGTGGAGCTCAAGGGGCTATCGCTGATTTAAATATCTACATGCCGTTGTGTGGGGCTCATCTCCACTAGCAATCCTTAGACGGTGTTGGATATTCCACATTACTATGGCAAGGACTGGTTCCTTCATAGGAAGTTGGTTGGTGACTTCCCAGGTTCAATGGGCGGAGGTAACTTTACCAGCTCGGAGAATGGTGACGCTGGAGATTATGGCAATGCCGAAGCAATGTTAAAACTTGCGATGCTGATCTGACAATGGCCCTGATCATCTGATGGAAATTCCCCATTCCCTTACCAAGAACTAGGATCTCCATGGCACCAAGCTATTTAGAATTTGTTTTAATTTGTATTTTACAAGGTAAGGCCCACTGAGCTATATCGCTCTTTTTCAGAAGCGACCTGGCCACAAACGATAGCTGAACGAAGTGGCTCATCATGTGGAAATGGAGAGGAGTCAAATACTCTAAATGCATGATTCTAAACGTGGAGAAAAAAACCGGAGGACCTGGACAAAAATCCACGCGACCACGGGGAGAACAACTCCAAATAGACAGGCATCGAGGGTTGGGATCGACCCCACGACCTCCTGCATACCAGGCCAGGGAGTTAACATCTCGCCACCACGGCACCCCAAGCAATGCCGTCTCATATTATAATCACCTCCGCAGAGCAGGCGATGCGGGATTTGAACCTGCGACAATGCGCGACTGCCCTGACCACGCGGCTGTAGCTGGCTGGACAGTGACCCCTGAACAGGTTCAAGCGGGACCAGCCGCCTGCATCCATTCCAGCACAGCAAGTGCAGCGCAAACAAATGTCTGGCTCGGGACAAGAAACATCGCCGCACGTTGCACAAAACGATCAAGCGAAGCCATGCGGCGAGGATGAATCTGCGACGCGGAAGCCTCACTCACGAACACGCACGGCTCTGTCGATGTTGCTATAGTCATCAGAAAGTAAACTGCCATGAATAGCAGCTGCTGCGTATGTGTTGCACCATGTGGGGCGTTGTCACAACCCAGCTCATGTGAGGCTACAACACCTGTATATTGTTTTGTTTTCGAGCCATTTTTTGCATTCATTATAAATGAGTAAGTGGCCATGTATAGCAGATGTATGTGTCTTTGTCTTTGTTTAGGTCAACTCAGCCTTAAATGAGTACAGGGTGTCGTGTGTCATCATCAGCACTGGAGAGACAAAGGCGGCCGGGCATGGGTCTGCCCACCCACCCCCTCGTGTGCCGTGCCGGCCTGCATAGGTGCTCGCTAACAGCACTTGCCCCAACAGTCTGTTAAGGCTATACGGGGGATGTTTGTCTTTGTGTCCAAAACGATTAAACGGCACTGGGAAAAGTAAGACTAACGCGCAATTATTATGATCGTTAAGGTTCAGTGTAAGGGCCTGAGGTTCAGAGTCGGACTCTGGCAACATTATGGGACACTCAAGGCTTGGTGTTCAAGCCTGAGTTTCAGAGCCTCAACTCATCTCGACCGGGCGGAGGGAGCCCGCGTGCTCGGCCTTAGTCGACGCGGCCACCGATCTCCCACCGGCGTTGGTACCCAACGCTCGCCGCGCCGTGTTGGATGGGCAGTCGGGCTCAGCCGCCCGCGTGAACCCCGCAGGGACGGCGCACGCGCGTACGCACACACGCACGCACGCACGCGACATCGATGAAGCCCAGCAGTGGCGGTAGCGGGAGGAGGAGAAAGAAGGAGCGGTGGCTCACGGAGGCGCTCTGTCCGCGCCGCGTGACTCCCCGCGATGATGACGACGATGACGACGACGGCTGTGGGGTCACGGCTGGGTCAATCAGAGCGAAGGGCACTCGCTAACGGCCCCCGCTATTTTTACAGGAGCCCTAATGAATGGTCAGAGTCACCTTAAAACGTCCTTCGCTGTCATCGCCCGGTCCCCCCCACCTTCCCCCCCGCGATGTAAATCGTCCGGGTTTAGAATTTAGCTGAGCTTAAATTTTTAGTGCCGCGTGGAAATTTGGGATGCGCGGATAAATCACGCACATTATGCTATTTTTTTTTTTACAACTCCGCGAGAAGATTATTTTAGCTTTCAACATTACAGCGGGAAAGAAAGAAGAGAGGATGAAGACGTGATTGATTATGATGTGCTCATTGTAACGCGGAGTCAATTTCCACGTAATAAATAACTCGCGCTCAGCCTCTGCGGCGTTATGGAAATAAATGCAAAAATTAGGGAACGCAACGGCAACATTTACTCTCGCGTTTACGCAAAGCGAAACGCCGAGAAAATAGAGTGAATTTAGCGCCGCGGCACAAATTCACTCAGTCAGTCGCTGAACGGTGAGCGAGCAGAAAATAATAACGCGGGGGGAAAATAAATAAATAAACGCAAACGCCTCGTCGACGTTAAACAGCCCCGCATTTGTTTTATTTTCCCGCGCAGAACGCGGCCGTTCGTTGCTCTTTTGTGATTTTTTATTTTTTAAACTATAGATAATAATCTCGCTCGAGGGCGACGCCGCCGCGGCCGTGCGGCTGGGGGGGGTGGCGGCGGCGGCGGCGGCGGCGGTGGGGCGAGTTCTCAGAAGATCATTTCCTTGATAGGTGCCGGGCCCACCAGGTGGCTTCGCAGGAGTAATGCAAACGCAGCGTGCGCCCGCGGAATTATTCCCGTCGCCAGCCGCACAGAGTGCTGCGTTAAGCACAACGGTGGCTCCGCTCGCCTCCGTTAAGCACTGCCGGAAAATAATAATAATAATAACTACGACTGCGATCCGGCCAGGTGCCAACGGAGGCGGGCGGGCGTGCGCGCGCCACTTGCATTTTCGAGGTTGCGAGTTCACATCCGTGGCGGCGGTTGCCATCTCGCATCATCCCCCCCCCCCCCAAAAACCTTCCAGGGCCAATAAAATGAGAACTACTTTATGGGAAGACAACAGCGAGCGCCCCGAGGAGAGATTGGCCCATGCCATAGGAGAGAAGAAGAAAAACGTACACCTCTGGATCATTTAAAAGTGTGGAAATACTTCACGTGTGCACCAAACGGTCCCGCGCTATGGGAATTGTTTGATCGATGTCCCTTCGACGAGGGGGGGGGGGGGGGGGGTTCGTGTGCGTGGAAAGAACCTTGGGGAAACCCACTACACAGCAGGAAACAACAG